AGGGAAAGTTTTTTGACTTCTCCATTTCTTGTTAGTTCCCTTTATGATCATTTAATATAAATTGTGCTAGATATACCTGAAAATGGGCTTCTTTTAGCATATGACTAGTTATTTGCATAGCAGAATTTTGTATATTAAACACCTTTATTAAGGAATTACTGTTTAAAAACTTTGGCAATCACTATTTGGGTAACCTCTGTTGCTCAAAATATGTGCAAGATTTCAACAGCAATGTTGAAGGACATGAGTAAATAACCATTTCCATTTCATAGAGCTTCTTATGGTATGCTGTTAATTCCACTGTATCTGTTGTAATATGCAATAAAGTTCTTTTTAGTTTGTGCCTCTGTTTTGCAGTGCTGCATGGTGCTGAGCCTCTGCCTTATTATACTGCTGCACATGCAATGAGTTGGTGTTTACAGTGTTCCCAAGGAGTGGCATATCTCCACAGCATGAAGCCAAAGGCTCTAATTCACAGGGACCTGAAACCACCAAAGTAGGTTTCTAATTAGTGTTTAAATTTCTCTCTCCCTACCCCCTTGTAAAATTAGAATTGGGTCTCTCATAATTTGTTACTTGCATTGGGCTCAGATGGAGCCTTTAAATGATAGTTTACATCTAGTAAGTTCAGTGTGATCTAATTTAAAAGCCATGAAATTGAAATTTCAGTTACAAAATCAAAATGCATTGTTTTGTGTGCCACTAACAGTGTACTTATCACTCGCTAAAAATGGACTCTCATTTGAGGCAGTTCTTTTTGGTCCAAGTCAAAACCTGGGACAGAAGAGCTGCACAGCCCTTTGGGCCCTGTAGCTTGTCCCAGAAATTAATGCCAGTTAACTGGAATAAGCCATGATTTTCCTGGCGAAAAAGTATTAGCACATTTTATCTTGCAAACTTCACAGGTACTGAAAGTGAGAAAATAGGCTTGTATGTCTGCAGGATCCCAAGACAAAAGGCTTTCTCCCAGGAGAAATGTGATGTCTGTTTTAAGCCTATACTGTATTACACAGAAATAAATCCTATTCCTATTCTTGCATCCTAATCCAATTCCCACATCATGGAAGTGGGTTTTTAATTAGGACAGTTTTACCAAACAAGAACATTTAAAAGGCCTTGTTATCTACTGCCAGTGTTCTTCCTTTGTAAGCAAAGGACCTGGGGTTTGAGTCTTTCTTCCTTCCCAAATTTTGATCCATAGGATCATTGACTGCTTGTTTCTTTATCCATTTCATCTGAAGAAAAGGTTGTGAGGTAGTCCTATTGAGTGTGTTGGTCATTCTTCTTCTGGCAAAGAGTCAGCCATGATGACAGGCCTTCTGTCTTCTGAGCTCATACAAAATGTTGGTGAACAAGCATCTGAATGATTTTATCACCCTTGGATGCTTAATTTATTGATATAACTGTTCCTTAAAAAACTATTTTTGTGTATAAACTTCCACATCATAAATAATTAGTAAATTACTTTATTTTGTGGAGCATGTGTTTAAATTTAAAAGCAGTCCATATGCTTAGATAAACCACTAATACTATGTAAAGGAATGGTAAGGGCACTTGTATATAAAGTATTGGGAAGCAAGACCTTAAGATTCATTCTAACGAATGAATTTTTTGTGGCTAAAATAGTTATGTTTTATTACAAGACTACTAAATTGTATAATTTTGGGGTTTTCTTGACAGCTTGCTGTTGGTAGCTGGGGGGACAGTTCTAAAAATCTGTGATTTTGGTACAGCCTGTGATATTCAAACACACATGACCAACAATAAGGGAAGTGCTGCTTGGATGGCACCTGAAGTTTTTGAAGGTAACAAAGTAACTTATGATCTTGACTTTATGTATCTTGATACTTAAGGACATTTTGAGTGAGTTTTAAGTTTTATAGGAATTAAGAAAAAACCATGGTGAGAAATAGCCTTTTATTTTCATTTGAAAATTAGGGTTCAAACCTGCCAGCCAAATATGTATATGAAAGAAATTCACATATATGTCATAGTTTGATATTTTACTTTAACAAATGGCTAAACTGGATGGCCTGTAATAGTAAACCTGGGATTGCGTTAGCATTAAGCAGCCTTCAATTATGTAAAGTTTTGTACTGGTAATTTTATATAAGTCTTTATTGGGGTGACTTAAATAGTCAATTCAAGATGATGTCTGTCTCAAGGTAGTAAGTGTAACATGCCTAAAATTTACTGTGGCTATATTAGTATTTTCCCAGTATAATACTGTTTCTGAGATTCAGAAATAACCTTAGATTCTTGTAGCATTAAAATATCATTCCTTTTACCACATATTCTTAATTGGCTCCAGTCTTTAGAGTTCCCTGTCAGTGCATCTGTATCTTTAACTACTTACTACTTTATTACTCTTCCCTTTTTTCTTTCTCCTCCTTGTTCTTTTCCTTTTCCCTTGAGCTTCAATTCACCTCATCTTCCACCCCATAAATAATTGTAAGTGTGTGTGCTAAGAAAGTCTAGTGATGATCAAAGGTATATGTAGCTGTTGTATCTTTCCTAGGGAAATAGTCCAGGATCTTTTCAGCAAGTCAGAAGAATGCGGGAAAATTTGTTTGCTTAAGTGTTTTATACAGATTTTGTTGTGGATACTTGTAGGTTTCATCTGGAGATCTGAATAGTGAATTTAGTTCTCTATAAAGGCATCAAATTATTAGAAATTTACAGTTTGCAGTATTAGGTAGCTATAGGCACAAAAAAAAAGTATAGGCAACCACTGCCTTTTCACGTTTCTCTACAAGTTATCAATAAGGCCCTATTTTAGCCAATCGCCTCTTCTTGAACATTTAGTTATTACTGCATTTACTCAAATATAAGGTGACTCTGAATATACTATACAATGACCCCCCAAAATAATTAGATCCTGTATATGGAAAATTTATAAATCTGTTAGATTCTACACCTGGAAATTTATAAGTATTAGAGGGTTGTCTTGAATTCCATGCCCATTCCTGACTCCCTCCCCTGCCCCCCCACCCCCGCTCTACAACAGGGGCAACAGTGGCGGGGGGAGAGTCAGGTGGCCACCTTGCCCTCTGCCATGCCTACTTTTTTCCCCCTGCAGCCTTCCTCCCATCCCCAGCTCCCCACAGCCCCTCGTCCTTCCCCCCAACTCTGTAATCTCTGCCTCTCCTCAGTCTCTGCTTCTTCCACCCACCCCCTTTACTAACAGACACTGCTCAAGCTGCTCTGTCCCAGAGCACAGCACATGGAAGCACAGCCCTTGCCTAGCTATATTAGAGTCAGGGCTGTTGTTTGGCCAGGTAGGTGAAGAGTTTCCATATGCTCCCTGTCTTGGAGAGACCTCAGCCCAAGCCAGAGCCAGTCTGCATCTGATGGGAATGGGGCAGGGGGGAACGAAGAGGAGTCTGCTCTGCTCTGGGCCTGACTGTAGCCATGACCCGTGCTCAGGGCCAAGGTCAGAACTGCAGCAGCCACCTGCTCAACCCTCGGCCTTGTATGCAAATATAAGATAAGGTAATTGGGGGTTGGGACCTCGTCTTATATGCAAGTAAATATGGTAATTACTCATTAATTCCTCAACATACCTGCTAAGACCAGCAATTTTGGGTCAGGTTTTATGCTGACACAAATGAACATCAGTTCTATGCTGACACAAATGACATCAGTTCATTAGGAACTTCAGGAAGCCTACTTGATCATTTCACAAAGGTTGTCAATTATCTGTCAGATATTAATGATTTTACATACGAATTGGACCTGACTTTCTTCTTAGATTAAAAAGGGGGAAATATTCAAGGGCATAAATAGCAGTTGGCCCTGTGCCTTCAGGAAATCGTTAATTTAGGCCATGCCTCCTCCTTTTTAAAAAATGTTGGCTGTGTTCTTCTTATGTCTTTTACTGCTACAGTTTTGTTTTTTTTCCTAAAGAAGAACATTTTACAATTCATAATAAAGGTTTGATTAAAACAAAGAAGGGCAGTTCTGTTTAAATACAGGTATTATTTCAAGCCTTGTTGTTATTAATTGTAATGTTGAGTTCCTCACACTTTTAATGACCTTTTCCAATTCTATATACAACAAGGCAGGAGGAATGTAAAACCAGAGTTTCATATTTCCTGCTTTGGGGATTACTGTAAGCCTTCACCTTTCTTAACGAGAGTTTAGAGAAACTTCTGTTTCCCAAAATATATAGCAGTATAATTGAAACATGCATATTGCAGGGAATTAAATACTTACATCTGAGAATATATTTATTGTATGTAAGAGTTGCTGAGAGAACATTTCAAATTAATCTTGAAATATGATTATTTAATATTAGCATTTATTTAATAAACACATTCTTAACCATTCATATGTATTTATTACTACATATAAAATATCAACCACAAAATCTAACTTTATCTATTATGCAGTAATATCCAGTTTTTAAATATCATATTGGTAAGAGTTTTTTAGAGACAGCCCCAACAGTAAACTTCCCAGAATGATAAAAGGCAGTTGAGTTTTATATTGCAAAATTAAGTTTTATAAATGTATATTTTTAATTATTTAATTTTAAATAAATGTTGTTCTAGATGGAGAGGAAGCAAGATCTTTCACTTTGGAATTTCCTTTAGTGGTAGCTGTTCAATAAAAAATTGCTTTTGAGATATGATTGCATTAGCTGAAGTGTAGTAAGTCTGCAGCCATGTACAGACATTCAGTTTCTCCTGGCAGAGTCACTGCTGTCCTAGGAGAAACCATGAGTGTACAAATGTCCAGGATTTTTCTCCCAGGGCAAAAATGGCCACTCCAAGAGGAAAAATAACCCAGATACAAGCAGGTTTAAATCACTCCCAGGAGAGTTTCTTCTGGGAGAGCACATATCTGTACACATTCTATTTTGGGAGAAGCCACAGTTCTCCAGCATCCCAGGGTGTTTGCTCCCACCCCTTCTACCCACCCGTGAGACAGTGCGTCACTCGTTGGACTCTGCTGCTCCAGCTGAGGAAAAAACATGCCCTGTTCACAGTCCACACGTTGTGCTGCACAGGCTAGCCCTGAGTAGTCTGGATTACCTGATCAGAGCTGCCCTGTGCACTGCTGCCCTCTGTCTGCCAGCAAAACTGAGGGAACCTGGAGAACTTACTGAGATGTGTGGACAGGGAGTCCCTGTTCATACAGTATCAGTACTACAAGCTCTCTGTTCTTCAGGGCATCAGCTTTCAAATGTCTGTTAGGGTGTCTCTGGGTAAGTTTTTCTATCAAGAAAATAAACCCAGGAGAATTCTCTGAAATCATTTGAATGTGTATGTGCAACCTGTATCTGCTATTGATCTTTGTTGTATAGCTGTATAATGAAACAATGTAGAAGGAAATAATGTAAAATGTAGTTGTTTTTTTTTAATGCATGCTTTCTAAGGAAAAAATAATTAGCTACTCGATGTCACTCATGCATAATACATCGAGCAGAAAAGATACATCTATAGAACTGATTGTTTTTACATATTTTATACTCTGAATCCATTGATCATGTCTACTTTAGCACTTACGTGGTCCTTGTAATTACAGAAGGAGAGATACTATTAGTCTTTTATTCTCTGGGCTTTGTTCTTCATTTTTTCCTATTATCTAGAAGTCTCCTATATGCTTATCAAGAAACCTAGAAAGGCTCAATTTGTGTCTGAAAGAATTTACAAGTTAAATTTTAGGCATAGCAGAACAAGGGAGAGTAACAAACAGTGAGGGAATGAGCAGTGAAATCTGAAGGCAGTAAGTGATCACCCAATTATTTATTTAAGCTTATGTAAACGTGATGGTGATTATATTTAAAGACATTTGTATTTAAACACAAAAATGATAGCTGTATTCATGAAAGTAGCTGGCTTTCTATGACCATCATTGAAAAAGTGAATTTCAAGTTAATTTTTTTCAATATAAATGTTTTCAATCTTATGTTAGTATGAACAAAAATAGCTTTAAAAATAAAAATGTGTTCATTGTATAGAAAATGAAGGCTGAAGTTAAAACTAAGTGTTAGGGCCATTCTTTCTTATTATGTTATGCATGTATCCTGTAGAAAACACACAAATTATATCAATGGATTTCTTTCAGGTAGCAATTACAGTGAAAAATGTGACGTATTTAGTTGGGGTATTATTCTTTGGGAAGTGATCACCCGGAGGAAACCTTTTGATGAGATTGGTGGTCCAGCTTTCCGCATAATGTGGGCTGTTCATAATGGTGAGTTGTAAACTTGTATTTTACTTTGGTACCTGTACATGTGAGTTGTGTATTTGTGCAGCATTTACTCAATAATTTTGGAAAAAAGTATTTAGTAAGTGATAGTTTTATACTTCTCTGGGTATTCACCTTTCTCAATATTTAGATAATTTCACTTGTGAACCAGCTCATTTTTTGGTGTTGTTTCTTGTCTGTCATCTCAGGCTGAGAGAGAATTTCCTAGTGTCGGCCCCAGGGCTGCAGAGCTCGGACTGGGAGATAAGACCACAGGGCCAGGGCCAGGGCTGAGAGAGAAGAATCTGCACCGCAACTGTAGAGCTTGGGCCGGGAGATAAGGATCTCGCAGCCTGGGCCCCACAACCTCTGAGCTTGGGTTAGATGATAAGGATCTCCCAGCTTGGGCCCTACCATCAGAGCTGAGGCTGAATGATAAGAAGATCTCAGCCTCCGCTCCCCAATCATGATTTGGAAGTGGGGGCTGGGAGCCGCCTGGGCAGGGGGACGTTGTCCCTACTCAGGCTTTAGTGACAGAGCCCACTCTGGCTGCAGGCAGCTCCCAGGGACAAGGAGCAATGTCTCAGTCTCCACCATGAGACAGCTGTCTCCTGGCCCTATGCTTCCTGCCAACTCCTGAGTTAGCATCCAGGGGAAGCCTAGATCTCCCCCTGGCTGCAGCCGGGGCCTGATGCAGGGACACAGGGAGCAGGAGCAGTCTGCTGCTAAGAGCAGCAAATCTGCTTCCACGTCCCTGCATATGTAGACGTGTGCCTGGGACAGTTTAGAGTAGTTTACTCTAGAGTAGAGTGTTCCTGTATTATTTGTCTGTGTAGATTCACCCACCGAGTATTTCAGCAACAAAGATTTTAACTTATTGTGTAGTAACAGAATTTCCAAGAATGGTTCAATAAAGAAGTTACTCATTTTACTTTTAGGTACTCGGCCACCACTGATCAAAAATTTACCCAAGCCTATTGAGAGTTTAATGACCCGGTGCTGGTCTAAGGATCCCTCACAACGACCTTCCATGGAAGAAATTGTCAAAATTATGACACACTTGATGCGGGTATAACTTTTTTTTTTTTTTTTCAATTTTTAAATGACTCATGGGTTATTAAGTTGTAATACTGATTTTAAAAAGGCTCTGTCATTTTATTCAACGTTTGTCTGTAACAAATCTCCAGTGCATAAAGGCTTTTGTTAAATGCAACTTAAAAGCTGCCCAAACAGGCTATCCACTCTGCACCCATACAGGATCTATGCTAATTTGATCCTACAGCGTTAAAGTTATTCAGAAGTTTTACTTCTGTAGTTTCTGTAGCAATTTTCCCAGCACTGATGTGTATAGACACAGTAATTTCCAGGTTCAACATTAGCTTCTTTAAAAAAAAAAAGAAAGAAAAAAAAAAAGGTGGTAATTGTCTAGTCTTCAAGAACAGATGCTGTAGAAGGGTATATTGCTTATCTTTGTATATAGTGCTTATCAGTGTTATTTCACCCTTAATTCCCTTAAAAAAAACTCTAGCCCTAAAGAACAGCTCTACTGTTCATTTGTTTTTGTTAACTAATTTGAAAAGTTTCAAATTATTAGTTAAACCAACCTGAACATACTTTGTTGAATGTAGCTCATATCACTCTGATATCTACTAACCCAATTTTACACTGAATGCAGGTGAATAAGACTGCCTAGCTGAAATCTAAATTTTTTAAAAGTTCTTCCTTCATTTGCAGTATTAGCTTAAATATTATCCCTTTCCTTTCTGCCAAAACTCTGTAATATCTAGCAGCAAAGTTTATATATCATTCTGTCCTTTTGCTAAATTTTACTGGACTTCATCGGGCAGTTGTTTGTGGCTTCCATCATACTGTCTTATCTCTAAAGTTTGCACTAGAGATTTGAAAAAAAAAGATTGGATAAACATGGGGGAGGCAGACTGCATATGCTTGATTTTGCCTCAGAACAGGGCCTTTTTGGGCTGCAGTTCATTGATGTCTATGATGAGAAATTTGTTTTGGGGCAATTAAAAATAGTTAACATTTTGGGGAATTACTGAAAAGCAAAGACTTGCAGAGCCAGCTGGAGTAATAACAGCAGCAGCTCAGTAGTTAAGTAGCATGGCATAGCCTAACTGCTGTTTGCTTTTGTGCATCCATTCAGACAACTAGGAGCTATTGAGGTGTCTGATACTCTTACAGCAACTGTACATACTCTGGAGGTTTTAGTCATTTTACATTTAATACTTTCACAATTCCTCTCTACACAGTACTTCCCAGGAACTGATGAACCTCTTCAGTATCCTTGTCAGTATTCAGATGAAGGCCAAAGCAACTCAGCCACTAGTACAGGTATGCCGGGTTAAATAGAAGAAAAAATGTTTCTCTTTTTAATCATGTTTTAAAGGAAAATGACATAGGGTCAGTTTATAAAGCATAGACTTGTATTAACTTTGAACTTCGATTGGGAAAAGAGCTAATCTCCTTTCCAAAATACCAGACCTTTACTTAAGTCCTTTGCAGACCAAATAACCGTACTAAAAGGTTGCCCCCTTAAGCTTTTGATCCATCCAAGTCCGCTTCCCTGTCTCCACCTTTGCGAAGAGGGTACACTTAAAGGTGCTTCAGTCCACAAAGGCATATTGTCTCCCTTTCTTCCAGAAGGTTATTTAGGTTCCAGTACCTGTCTCCCAGATTTCTTTTTTTATGACTAGATCTCTAGGGTATTACTAGGAAGATCATAAATAGCTATTCAGTCCTGCATATAGGATAGAATTCCATTTTGATGACAAAAAGTGGAAATGGTTCAGATGGGATTTTCCCCCATTTGACACGGGGAGGGAGGGGTGCCCCTCACCTTACAATCGAGCACAAGGCAGTGGGGAAGGAGCTGGAACCAGAACTACCCCACTTCCACTGCTTCTGCATGCCCTGCCACTCCTCTCCCCTGCAGCCCCATCTACCCCATCCCTTCTCTGCTGCTTCTCCCTCTCTCTCAACCCTTCTGCTGCTCTCCTCCTTACCTTTGTTCTGCACTGACAAGCTCCATCCCTGCTGCAACCTGGGGCACAGAGCACAGCTTAGCAGTGGTACAGAGCTGGCACTGGTATTCCAGCCCACTGCTATGGGGTAGGCTAGGGCCATGCTCTGTACCCTGGGCTGCAGTAGGGGCAAAGCCTGCTTGTGCAGAGCAAAGGTAAGGTGGGGCAGGATTTGAGGGGCAGGTGGGGTGAGAGAGACTTTGAGCGAGGTTGGCGGGAGATGGGATGAAGGTGTGAGGACCTGAGGCTGTGGGTGGCAGAAGCGGCATGGAGTGGGGAACAGGGGAAAAAGAAATCTACAAGCTGAGGCTTCAGGGGGCAGGGACAAGCGCAATGGGGGCAAGTGGCAGGGCCAGCAGCAGGGGACAAGCTGCCTGCCCCTCTTGCTGCCTGTCTCACTACCTCCACACCACCTGCCCCCTATTGCCTTCCCCACTCTGTCCCACACCACCTGCCCCAGTACTGACCCCTCTCAGCACTTCTCCCCACCTACCTGCAGTAGTGAGGGGGATGAGTTGAAGATGAACCTCCAATAATAAGATTCCATACATGGAGTATTATAATAAATTGATAAATTTTCTGTGTCAAATCTACTTACTAGGGGGTTGTCTTGTATTTGAGTAAATATGGTATTTAAATGAATTTTCATCAAAACATTAAAAAAAGTTAATATAAAAAACCAGGAAATACCAAATGATTAAGTAAAGAATTGAATTTTGACTTGGTCTTTTTTCAAAGAGAAGTGAATTGTTAAATACAAAAAATGCTTTTGTTTTTTATAGGCTCGTTCATGGACATCACTTCTACAAACACTAGTAACAAGAGTGATGCTAACATGGAACCTGCTGACATTCAAGGAACTGCTACCAATGATACCATTAAACGCTTAGAATCAAAATTAGCCCAGCAAATGAAAAATGCAGCAAAGCAGCCAGTAAGGAAATCAGTAAAATCTTGGGCCTTAAGGATGATAGTGGTTTTAGCTAGATAAAAAAAAAAAATTAAAAATATGGTTTTATAATAAGATGGAAAAACTTACCTACAGATTTTTACAACAGGAACTCAAACTATTCTGCATCTTTTATGATCCATGGAGATCTGCTGTTTCTTCATTTGCAGTTGTTGTAGGAAAGCAGTTTTCCTTGTAAAAGCTATTGCAGAAGTTTTCCTTATAAAAGAAATGATGAGCAGACATAGCTGTCTTCCATAGATGGAGTCCAAGGAGAAGAAAGTTACCAGTAGTCACCTTGGGAGATCCTGGCCCCTACTAAAAGAAGGAAAAACAAGGTTCTCCAGAAGGTACTTGAGTTAAGGTAGACTATAGCTCCAGCCAGCTGTCAAGCACGTCCATGGTAGATGGTAGGAAGTGCAAGGAGCAAAGCAGATTGTTCAAGAGAGCAGAGGGAGAGAGGGCACAAAAATGACCAAAAGGAAACTCCATTTTTTTCAGAGAGGACACCCTCCCAACCCCTCAAAATTCAACATTGAATACAGCAGTAGTGCTTAATTTCTTGGCCCTGTGGGCCAGATGAGTGGTACAGGGCCCGTCCACGGGCTGGATCAGGCTCCGTGTACCGGGATCAGACCTTGCACTGCCTGTACCTGGTCCTGTACACCAATATTGGGCCGCACCCAGCCTCAGTTGGTCCCCGTGTGCCAGGGTGGGGTTCTGGGATCCCATACTGCCCCTGCATACTAGAATCAGGCCCCACAAGCTGGAATCAAGCCCTGTACCACCTGGCTCCATGTGCCAGGATTGGGCCCAGTACTGCACTATCCAGCCCACAGGACTGACTCCTCCTCTGAAAATTTTGGATGTGTGGTATCCCACAGGCCAGATGACACAACACTGGAGGCCAGATCTGACCCACTGGCTGGGGGTTGAGCACTCCTGGTACAGTGTAGTGCTCTTTTATTCTCTCAAACTGAGACACTGAAAGAAAATTTAAATGGGAGAAGGATAAGGGGGGGTGTAAAAGATTTATACAAAATTACAAATAATATCAAGAAGATAAATTGGGGATCTCCAGTAATAATACATGATCAATGAAAGTTGAATTCAGCATACTGGAGGATGAAAGGAATTATTTTTATTAAAAAGTTACAGATTTACCTATTAGACCCCCTTATCTTAAGCTAGTATTGAGACCAAAAGATTGGTATTTGAGAAAAGGTAAGAAAATATAAAACTGAGTATTGGGTAGGCTAGAAAAAGAAAAATCGTTATGGTTCAGCATTGTCCTAATTCTTTTCCCATTGATGCAACTAATTTAGTTCAGTTTATACATTTGCAGTAATAAAGTTGGTTTTGTTTTAAAAAGATGTAGAGGTTAATTTTTAAAAATTGTGGCATTTTTAAAATACGTGTTGCGTACTATATTGGCAATTTTCCCTCGCCACGGTTCTTTATCAATCTGCTCTAAATATAGAGCTAAGCTCAAAAATCAGTTCTTGGGTTGTCTAGAGAAACTTTTTTTTCTTTTAAAAGTGTGACACCTGTTTTAACAGGGTGACCCTGGTCGTTTAAGTTTACCTCCATCTCGTGGAAGTAGTGTGGAGAGCTTGTCTGATGTTCGTGGACGACCACAGTCAACCCTTGTTTCAGGAGAAGGCGCTAAGAGAATGAGTGCTGACATGTCTGAAATAGAAGCAAGAATTGCTGCTACCACAGGTAAAAAATGGGGAGTGGGGGGAGCTTCCAAATGTTCATAATTTTGGACAAGGTTTGTTGTTAAGTCTTTTTTTTTTTTTATTAAATGAAAATGGGTGGCAATTGAGACTTGCATGGATTCTTTATTTTTACAGTATGTCTGTTTCAGAGTTGATATGAAGCAATCTACTTCTTTCACATTTGGGCTTTGGGCTACAAATGAAGATTTATTTTTTTTTTATTCGATTGTTACATATCAGCCTTGTTTCATAATTCAAAGTTTGTCTCTGCTTCTGAATGGATGGTATGCTCTTGCCATTCTTATTTTTTATTAAAATTACATTTCACTTGATACAACATTCAGTTATTTTGAAATGCAATAATGATTTTAAAGTACTATTTCTATCAGTAAATTGAAAAATACCTTTTCATAGAAAATATCTAAATGCTCAGTTTTGTACTTACTCTTGAAGAAAAGACCAGGTACAAAGATAATCTTTCAGTTTCTTTCTAAAACTAAAAAGTAAAGTGTTTTAGCCGTGTGTTTCACCAGGTTTGCTTCAGGTAGTAAAGTATTTCTTTTATGTGGTGGGTCATTGATGCAAGTTTAGGATGCAGGCACAAACGCAGAATTACATGGTGAAAATACCATGTAGGTATTTGTGTGGGTGTGTTTTCCAAATAAGCAAATTACAGCTACAGTGTTTCACTGTGCCTAGCAACCAGACACTTAAGAGTCCCTCATCATAGCTAGATAGCTTGTTTGCAAACATTTATATTTCATGTTTCAGTGACTATGAAAGTCATTTTTATTGACTACAGCTCTGGATTTAAAGAATACAAACAAATTACTTGGGGTCAGACCTTACCCTAGTAACCTTTCCATCACTTAGAAAATTGGGAATAATAAGGTAACATTTTTTATAAATTGGATATGCTTAACCTTCTGATTTGTTCACAACAGCTGAAAAGCTGTTGGTTTTTATTGTGTTTATTATCGTGGCAATCTCCAAAGATTTATTGTGACGTATGGGATGCCGTGTTACCATTCCCTGAAGAGCTTACAGTCTGACACTGGTGTTCAACCTCCTGGCCCTAGGGACCAGATGAGTGGTGCTGGGCCAGTGCAATGCTCAAGGTCAGTGCACAGGTACTATCCAGCTGTGCACAGGCTTGACCCTGTGTACCAGTGCTATCTAGTGCACACTATCAGCATCCTGCTTGCAAGGCTCCTCACAGGTCCTGAAATTTGTCAGCAGGATAGCTGCAATAAATGCTGCCCTGCTGACAAATTTTAGGACCTGTGGAGAAACGCACAGCATGGCCTCGGGTGCCTGTTCTGGCCTGTGGACTGGAAGTTGAGCACCCCTGGTCTAACATAAGAGTATTGAGCCAAGGCTTCTGGTTTATTTATTTACTCTTGGACTCAGTGCTGCAGTCAGTTCTTAACACCTTCAACCTGTAGTATACGTTTATGGAAGGTCTCACCAGCACAAAAGGCAACTGTGTACTTACTAGAGGTGTGAAAGGTTAAACATTTAAACAATAAGTATATTTATACTGGTAATGTATTACCAGTTAACATTTAGTGTGGGGCGCAATCCGGTGTGAAAGAGAAATGGTGCCTCAGGAATAGTGAACACGGGAGGGCAGGCAGAAGAGGGGAGCAAGAAGAAGGGGAAGGGTGAGAGGGGACTAGTCCATAGCCTGTGAGGTTAAAGAGGAAAACAGCCTGCAGCCTAATGACTTGTCAGTTAAGCATTTAGCTGCTCATTGAAAAGTGCTCCCTCCCAATCAGCAGACCAGGGGCTGCAGCAGGCTGGGAAAGCTTCATGTGGGCTGTGTGGTCTGGTGGAGCTTTCCACTGCCTCTTCCTCCTCCCCAGTCAAAGGTCCTGGGGAGCAGCTTCCAGCAGCAGCTGTGTCCAAGCTGCTGTGTTATCAGTTAACTGTTTAACCGATATAATTAGGGAAGGTTAAATGAATAATTTTTTTAATGATATTTACATCCCTAGTACGTACTTAGTCTGCTTTTGTTGTTTTTTAAAAATGCTGGGCCATTCTAAGCTCTCACTGGTATAAAAACGAGTGCAACTCATTTAACATTAATGAAATTAACTCTGGTTCTTATCCACGGGAGCTTGCAGTTTTCCCTATTTGTTGTTGTCTTAACTAAATTCTAGGTACAACTAGAAATAATTATCTAAGTGTATGTTAAAGTTAACAACCCTCTGCCTTTCTCTTGTCTAAAGTTCATTTGGACTAAGCGAAGTGTAATAGGAAAGCAGAATTTGCATCAGTCAGCACCAGGCTAATAAAAATCTGTTCAAAATCATCTTAAACAGGTTTTCATGAGTTTTGTTGGTAAGAGTTAAAATACCATTTTTTTTATCTGGTTAGTTATTGTTTCAGAGGACAAAACATAGAGATACCGAACAAAGAAACTGGATTGCTAATTGGAGAGGGGTATTGTCAAGAATAAATAAATGAAACGATATTTTAAGAATTGCCTAATCCTCTTGTTCCACCTATTATTAGACTTGCCATAGAAACAATCATATGGCACACATTCATGTCAAATAGTTTTGGAGTTTTTTGGTGTATGTGTGTGTATTAACTTAAAATATGCTACAACAGTTTGCTTTTGGGAGAGATATTCACACACATTTTAATGGGAGTTCTATATTTAATCTTAATACAGGCCCTGAGTTTTACCACCTCTTCCTCCAGCCACAAGTGACAAAAGGAACAGTTATAAGTTTATTTTATGCTGTTAATGTGATTGCAATCCATAAACATTTCTACTTTAGCATGAAGAATTTTTTCCATTAATTTCATAAGTTTATGGAACAGTGTACTTTGCTCTAGAGCAAAGGTTCCCAAACATTTTCTTATTGTGTACCCCCTTCCAGATTTACCAGCTGCCTGTGTACCCCTACCAACATGCATTTTATATTTTAACTCCTTAAAGTCCAATTATTATTATAATAAAAATTTAATCCAACATTGCACAATTTCTCCTGCATACCCCCAGAGATGTCTTGCATACCCCCATGGATACGTGTACCACAGCTTTGGAACCCCTGCTCTAGAGTATGTAGGTTGGCTCAGAATGTCCAGTTTACAAAGTAAAAAGCATTCACTCATAGAACCCCATATACAAGACAGAAATAATCCTTCAAATTTGGTAATAAAGCAGACGTCTTGGACACTGTTTAGATTTTACTTTACAGGAGATTACAGTTTACGGAAATGAAACATCCAACCTGAAAATGTAAACTTTTTGATAAACCAGTGTATGTCTGAGACTAAAAGAAATTATGAAGGCTACGTGTAACTTTTAAAATAATCAGGGATATATGTATTTATTACTAATGTGCAGGTGAAGTGGAACAAGCAAATTTGTCTTGCATTCTTATAATTATATTTTTAGTTTTCCCTTCCTCATTGCCATGCTGCTTTCTGTGTTGAGTTTTGTGTTGCTAACTACAACTAATTATATTGTGTTCGTATTGACAGCTATTTCTGTTTGCTTTTAACAATTGCTTAACTCTTTGTAAGCATGAATAGACTATGCAGTTTATTCTGCATGATGTTTTGCATGAAATATAGTTTAACAAAAGTATATGAAAATTGCAGTGAGGTATTTTTAATAATTTTGCTGTTACCATTGTAGTTGTTTGCATGTGTATTGTATATGTGTATTTTTTCAGCCTATTCCAAGCCTAAACGAGGCCATCGTAAAACTGCTTCATTTGGCAACATTCTGGATGTCCCTGAAATCATCATACCAGGTATCACAGACCAGGTGAATGGGCCTATTGGCTAAGATGCTGGGATAATGATCAGATTTTCAAAGATACTTTTTGCTCCGACATATAATATAGATGGAGACAGTGCAATAAGATTTTCCATCATGTCTTTGAATTTAAAAGAACTTGCCACTCTCATTTGCTTCTCTCTCAAAGATAGGAATATGCCCTTGCTGGCTGGACTGAGATTCCTGGTATTAGACTTATGAATTTCCAGACCAAACCTGTATGGTACAGTGTTTTATTATAATATCCCTCATTTAGTGAAAAGTGGGCTTAAAATTGAGATGAACTTTGTCCAATGGTTCATACTGCCTTGGTCACAGTCTCATCTGTTTTTATAAATATATATAGTATTAGCAGAAAAAAAATCATTTAGACATTAGATGACTTTGATCTAATATATGACAGTGCAGAAAAAAAATCAATTAGACATTAGATGACATTTAGACATTATTAGATGACTTTGCATAAATGTTTGGCATGTCATATTAAAATACACGCTACAAATATTTTCTATAATAAATATAGTAACTTTCAAAGGCCACTATTAAGCATACCCCCCCCAACTTCTTGCAACATTCTTTCGGCTGCCAATTTTTTTTCTGCACTGTCATATGCATATCAGTAAAAATTGTGTGCTTAAATATAGTTTATTTTCTCTGAGAAGGCCTTTTTACAACATACATATTAAATCATAAAAGTAGACTGATTTTTCTCATTAAAACTGCATGCAAAGCAGGTTGCTTGCTGAAATCTGTATTGCATATCACTTTTACATTATTATATATGAAATGGCAGTGCTGTGTAGATTTAAATTTTTAGATCTCCAATAATATAACCTGTTGCTATGAATGAAAATGTTAGTGGGTTTGTATGAGGAAGGTAGAATGAAAGTTGCAGGGACAGAAACACTTAAGATCTGTTAACACAGTGCCAAAATGTGTTGCTATAAAGCTCACAAAACTCTATGCCGTTATACCTCTATGTACTTATTTGCATAACAAATAAGCACCTGTAAAGTCAGTAATTTACAGAATTTATATTTCAGCCAACAGTGAATTATTTCTGATTACTAAAATTGCTGGAAAGGCTTGATTGTGTGTACTGGTAGAGAGCAGCCACAGAGCACTTAAATCTAATTCACCAGATGAGTTATTAGAATTTAAAAAATGAATCATGATTTGGTTTTAGGATTTTGCAGGCCAACTGGAGGCAAAGAGGGGGAATGAGATTACTTTGACATATGACGGCATCATACTCATAACTCTGTTATGTTAAAAGTTCAGCCCATATTTTTAATTTTATTTAAAAAGTATACTGGAGTACATTTTGGGTAATTGAAATAAAGGTGAAGCAAAAAAAAAAGCTTGAATTCCAGCTTACTTCCTTCATCTTTAAGAAATACTGAGTTGCAGATTGTTACAGTGCAGTGCAGTTAGGTTTTCCACTGAAGACCTCAAGATGGCAGCCCCAACATACTTTTATTACTCTCTCTTCCCCTCACTCTTCCTTTTGAAAAAGGCTTTGGCCGGTTAAATCTTTTAAAATAGTTGCTTCTTTACTTCTTTTTCTTTTCAGATTTCCTCCACTTGAGGTATTTAGTGAGATTATTAATAACAATATAATTTGAATAATTCTTAGCCAAAAGCTTTTTATAAACTAGACGTACAGATCTGTTCGCAAACCACTGAAATACAGTCCTCTCCAGGGTAGAATATCCTTATGTGACCCTTTGGGAAAAGGTCTGAAAGTTTTCAGATATTTCAGTTATTCAAATAAACCTTTCAGAGGAACTTGACCACAAGTAGTTAGCCAAACTTTATTTTGCATCCCATTCAAAAAGCCCCCTTTTAGTTTAGATTTTGCAAAGAATATTAAAACAAATAGCAAAGTTAAAAGACAGAAGAAGATAGGTGACTGTGCAGTGAGCGTGGGATAGACATTTAAAGGTACTATAGATACAGCCCAAAATCTTAGGGAATGTTTTGTATTTGTTGCCACTAAGAAATGATGCAGAGGGTCATGGTTAATGAGGATATGGAAACGGGAATAAGCTGGAAACCGAACTCAGCTCTGGCTTGGGGAGGAAGCAGATAATCCGCATGCCAGAATTCTGAAATAACTACCATGAAATCACAGATCAGAAAGCAAATATTTTCACAGATCTTTCAAGTCCAAGTGGTACCGTATGATTGAGAGAGAGCAAATGTAATAGTGATGTAGAAAGGGGAGAAGGGGAAAGTGATCTAGAGCAACAGTCAGCAATATATAGCCCATCAAGCCACTGTTTGCAGGGTACAGATATGTAATGTTTTTCCATCCTCAACATTTGTAAGTACCTTGTTTGAGTATAGATTTCATTTAAGACACTGACATTTCAGATTCATAAAATTTGATTTTACATAAAGCTAATTTTGATTTTACATTATTACATAAAGCTAACTCAGTAGTAAAATGGTTTGTCATGACTCATTTCCAATTTAACATCTTAGGTAGTTGATATTCCAGTGTGTACATAACTAGGTTAATGTGTAAAATGCACTTTTTGTTCTTAACATTTTATTTTAGGATGCAGGCATAAGCAGTGCAAATCAATATTTTTAAACAATTAGATCATCAGAGATTTAATAAATACATGTTTTTAAATCATGTATTTAAACTATATTTTTCAGAGAACTTAATAAAGATAAGTAATCAAAAGCAGCAAGACTTTTGACTTTCTCCTTCTGGAGAATACTGTTTTTTCTAACTATACCTTCTGGCACTGGCATCTCTGTTCAGTGTTTTATATAAACCATTTTCATATAAACTGTTTTTTATGGTTGGGGGTTATAGTGTCTGTATATTACTCAGGAACACCTAAATTAATCTAAGTTTGTGAACTATTTTGACAAAAGCAGGTGCATCTGAGCGTGAATAAAGGAAGAGAATCTGAGCATCAAAAAATAAGAAAGAGAACTGGTCAAAGTTGGATCAGTGGAAACAGGGGTGAGAGCCACGTTAGGAGAGAACAAGAGAGTCAGTGGGGAAGGCAATAGTGGTTTTGCATATAGGGTGAATGGAGACCTAAATGAACAAACTGCTTGTAGAAGACAACGAGGAATACTAGACTGCTTGCATATTTGAGCTTTTGGAGGTGAGAGGGCCAGAGAGAGAACTAGGGGAGGCTGTAGGTATCTAGTAAGAAAAACAAACTGCACAAACACAAGAATAAGTTGCTTTAGATTGTTGAATGGGAGCTGCATGTGTTGAATAGGAGCTTAGTGTTTGTCTGTGGCTTGTTTCTTCAAATATAGACAATAGGGTGCAAAATTTTTTTTTGAGAATAGGAAGCACTGCTCTAAATGTTATGGGCAGAGAAAATTTGTGTAAGAGTTTGCAACAAAGAGGCAGGAGACTGAGAGAAGCCATTCACCTGGGGAAGGTACAGTGTGATAAGGCGGTGAGCTATATGAAGAAAAAAGTACTGAGAAGAGAGTTAAATTGCAGGGAGGAATACAGTGCAATAAGAGGAAAAAGAGTGAAAGGAGAGAGAAGAAAAAGAAGAAATGGGATAAAAGAACACCAAGGAGGAGAAAGACTGGAATGAGAGAAAGGAAAAGGCAGGCAAACAGGTAGAAAAAAAAGGAAAAGAATAAAATGGGTTGGAAAAATGAAGACGACAAATACATTGGAGACTCAACAAACTAAGTAATAGATAGAAGAGTTCCTAGGCATCCAAATATTTTGCAGTAAACAATCAATATAATTATTTATTATTTAGACTTGTCCTTACATTTAAGTTTATATTTTGTTAGTGACAGCATTGACCAATGAAAATACACCATATGCATTCCATGAAATCCTAAGTGAATCTCTCAACATATGCAATACATATATTTTTTGGTCAACAGTCTGTTTTTATTTAACTTTCTATGTTACATAATATGCCACTGAACCATTCATTATATCTGTCATTCTTAGGTTCTGATTATACATTCTGTTGTAATCTCATTCCTTTTTTTTTTGTCCAGGTCTCTTATTAAAAGATTTTTTCTACCCTAAAAAGTCTGTTCCAAAAAAACAGTTTTAAATAAATGTAGAGCTATGAACAAAGTCCATATCAATTGGAAGTAGTGGAGTGGAAGATATGTAGACCAGGAATAATTATTTAAAATGAAGGGAACATTCATGTTCTGATGTTCATATACTGAAAATAACATCAATATTGATTCTGGAGCAACAAGTATTTGTTGATCTGCGGTCTTTGTTTTCTGCTTCGTCTGATCTGTTTGGCAGTTGTCTGCAGTAGCTATACTAATTAAAATGACATTCTGTAGTACAGCTTGCTTTTGCCTCCATAGTGTTAGCTTGAAATCTGTTCATCTAAAGGCATAGATTCACTACGGTTCTATTAATCCCCTCCCTTTGTCTTGTCCCCAAAAGTATTCTTTTTTTTTTTTTCTTCCACCCCACCCTGGGTTTTTTTGTTGGGTTGTTGGGGGGCGTTTTTTGGTTTTGGTTTGGTTTTGGGGGTTTTGTTTATTTTTTTTTAACTTTTTGGCTTCCACAGTCTAATGTTTCAGGAGCACATGTGCTGGGTTCTTTAAATTCACAAATGTTGCTAATCTGAATTGAGAATTCCAGATATTTTTTGCAAGCTTCTTTCAGCCAGGCTAATTTTAGAATAGTGCTGTTGAATGAAATGCAAACATAATTGTTGGATCAGCCGTGGGTGGATCATCTGTATCATGAGTACCAAGATGAGTTGCGGTAGCTAGATAAAATATTAGAGGAGCATAATTTTTCAATTAATGTATAATTTTGTTTTGATATGGCTAAATAGTTATTTAAAATGCAGGAGTGTAATAATTCTCACAAGGTACTTTCATTTAAGGATCTGTAATAGCTTTACAAACACTCCTTAGGTCTAATAGCAATCTTTCTTACATAGTTAAGTATTTATTTTCCCAAATTACAGATGGAGAAAATTGAACCTACACCTAGATCACAGAGTGTCTCAACTAATTAGGGATGTTGGCTGTAGCCATGTTGGTCTAATTACTTGTCCAATTGGAACACCCTCAGACATGCTGCAATGCTCCACATAGGCTGGCTGCAGAACCAAAAGGAGTATAATCTCCTTACAATAATGTAAGATAGTTGTCAGTCCTGAGTGATACTGCCAGTTAGCTTGCCCTGATATTAATTAGCTCAGTATAGCCACACACCATCCACTTAAGGAAACAGTCTGTGCAGGGCAGTCTGGTACATTTCTGGGCACCGCTGATGAGCGTGGTAAGTTCATGATCTGAACAAAGCCAGAGTCACTCGGACACCTATAACCAAAGTTATGGTTGGTCAGAAGAACATAACTCCAATTCTAGACTTCCCTGTCTCTTTCCTGAACTTTTGAACTGTTCTTTCCCTTTGATACTTTAAGCGATTATAAAATTATAATGCCACATCATGGTTTGGTAAAGCTAATGTGACAACTTCGTATTTTGGTTTTTGGTAGTTTATTTTTAAAATCCACAGGCCTGTGGCATATTACAGTAGTAGGAAGATTTAGTTAAATGTTATAATCTGTGATTTCTTAAACAGTGTGTATATAGAAGATACATTAGTTGTGTTTTTGTTCTGATTGATGTGCAAATTAAAATCTATGTCCAGAAAACCTCTAAGTCATTGAAATTACATCAAATAAAAAAGTAAGTTTAAAAAAGTCTGCGGCTTGTTACTACAAAAGATTGACTGGGGAGCTGTGATAAGTGTTCAGCACTGCAACTGTTATAGTATGTGTTCCAAGCATTACCCACTAGCAGAAGTTACGTAATGCAGACCCGAGACCAAGAATTTTGAGCATTGTCAGCTGTTACTCAAAACGTTTTGGTGTTTCCTTTTGGACAGCTGACCTGTCATCTCAAGAGACCATGTAAACAATCATGTTAATAAAAAAGCAAAGCACCAAAAGAAATTCTATTGCATAATCCATGTTATTTCTAATGGAGACTTGGTTTCATAAAAATTTCCTTGATCGACTGGCAGTGTTAAATTTTAAACTGTTTGATATAGCTGTCAGTGGTGGATAATTGCTAACAGGTGTAAGGAGAAGAAGGAGGATTACAGCATTGTGCTTAGTAGATTGATATAAAAAAGTGACTTAGATGGAGAACAGCCTTCTTTCCTAGTTCTCAGAATGTGACAATAAGAAATAGTTTTGCTCATAAGTAAAAGACTTGACATAAACACTTCCCCTTTTTTTCTTTATGCGAGAGGAATATAATGCAGTCAGAAGGCCTTGCTGTGTGTTGCTGCATCAGTATGTTAAAAAAGACCAACAGGTTGGAGCTGGCAGCGTGTTATCTTAGCAGTCTTGCTTTAGAAATCCCCATAACGTAACGCACTTGAAATAGATGTCGTCATCAGCTCCTGCCCCCAAGTACTAAGCCTGCTCAAACACATGTGACAGAAGATGTTAGAGTGCAAAAACTATTCATGTGGTAGGAGTGATTATTGTGTTAGGATACACTTTCTGTTGACAGGCCAGCACTTTTTGAGTTAAAATTCTGCAGCTGTCCCTCTCTCTCTCCTCCTCCCCCCACCCCCCTCAACTTTCTCTCTGTGGATTTGTACAAATTCCAACCTCCTGCTGCAACAGTCGCACCCTTCTTATTTTGTTCCTGAGCAGTTTTCATTGTTTTGTGTTGTCTTTTTTTTCTAGCAGGAAACGGACAACAGAGGCGTAGATCCATTCAAGACCTTAGTGTTGCTGGAACAGAATCCAATCAGGTAAAATCTTTCATTACCATATGATTTCTTATTAGAAAGAACTACTCTCTTAAAATTTCAGGTTAGATGCTGCTCTAGAAAGGATTTATGCCATTAGGCATAGTTCAATTTGAGAAATTGTGGTTTTTGATTGTTTTGCGTCTAAAATAAAATTTGAAAGGGTAGTTTATGAAAGAAATCTGAAGCTAGAAGTTTCTTCTTTGCAGTTCGCATATCCAGCACATGTAATTTTTATTTACAAAAAAACAAAAAAAACTTGCCTGTGTGACTGTCACATAATTTGGCTTAAAATGGGTGTTACAAAGGATGGTGGTCACAAGCCGTAAGCATGCAGAAAGACTGTTACTGTGGTTTGTGTTTGTCAAGAAATTGTAATGCATATATCATAGCATTATACTGCACAGAATCAAAAATTAATAACACATTTCATCATAATATTCAGGTTCAAACTTAAATAGCTCCATTTATTGAGAAATATAATACACTTGAAAAATATAGTGTGGCTTCATTATTAAGCTTTTGTTATCTTAACAGAGTATTTATTAATAGCTTAGTTTTGTATCTGATGTCCAGATGCTGTGGTGTAACAGATAGAGTGGCATACTGTGAAATAATAAAATTAAACTACAAACATCTCAAATTAACAAAGTGTACAGTTAATGATGCATCAACTTTGTTTTGATTGGTTAATTGCTAACTTCCCAGTTTCAGTAACTCTCAGTCTGATGATTAGGGTAAGATTCTAGTGTAAGGCTCTGTTGTAGCGCCACTAAAGTTTGGACATGGAAAAATAGTAGTTCCCTGTGTTAATCAGATTAATTAGCTTTTAATATTAGAGAGCCTGGTGTAGTAATCCTAAAAGAGGTGGTAATCTTGTAGGTGCTAATATTGTGTAGCACCTCACAACATGCTTAAAATGATTTCACAGCATGACTGGAGTGCTGTAGGCCCCTGGTTGAGAATCACTGTTTTATTTATATTCCTGCCAAATAATAACCCCTTTGACCAAGGATGACAGAAGAAAGCTCATTCATTCCCACCATCTTCGGATGATACACTAAAAAGTAAAATGTGGAGTTCATAGTTCTTAATATTTAGCTACTTTCTCTTATACCTCCTCCAACCTAATGAGTTGAAATTCAGAATCTGAATTTCATTTCATTTATTTTATAAATATTGAATGTTACAAGTCTGAATCAAAGCACAGCATGCAAGATAAGCAGATACAGTAAACTCACATGGCATGGGAAGTACACTCTGGATGTCATCTTGCATGCATTATCCATATAAGTAAATTACATGCTTTTGCAATCTTGTTTTTGAGGGTGTGTGTGAGAGAGAAGAGAGGGAGATCTACTGAAACGAACGCTAACTTGTAATACAGAATTAAAGGCTATTTATGGATTTAAATAACTCTTAGATCCCTGCAGATAGAATATTGAGGCAGTATGGACTCTCCATCACTGGAGGTGTTCAAGAAGAGGCTGGACAGCCACTGGTCAGGGATGATCTAGGCATAGTTATGCCTCTTGTACCATGGGTATTTCCCCTGCTACTGGGCTTTGCTGGTTGTTTCCACCTCCCCCACCACCACTCCCTGCCCTTTTCTGCTGTGTGTGTCAGGCTGTTTTTAAGCCTCCCCAGAGGCATTGGATGCTGGCTACAGCCAAGCCTGTGGACTCCAACTGGCGTGTGCCAATTCTCCTGCTAGGAACAAGACCAGAGATTCCTGGGCTAAAAGGTCTTGCCCCTCTGCTTAGGGTCAGGCCAATCACCATATTTGGGGTCAGGAAGGAATTTTACCCCATGGTCAGATTAGTATGAGCTGTGGGGGTATTTGCCTTCCTCTGTAGCGTTGGGCGTGGCCCTCTATCTGGGACCTCTTGAACATATATTGTCAACATTAGAAGCAGGACATTGCCTGCCATGGTTCCCCTGCTTTACCAGTGACAGGATAGGGTGTTAGGTCTCTGTTGTGTCAGGATTGAGGGTATTCTTATGTATGTAGTGTTTAGATTCCGGTTATATGGGATGGTTTGGATAGGAATGATCCTGCCTGAGGCAGGGGTTGGATTTGTCTTCTGAAGGTCCCTTCCAGTCGTACTTCTCTATGATAAAGGCAAAATGGGATCTGATGCACAGTCCACACAATCATGCCGCCTGCCATGTCACACATGCGTAGCAGGAGGCATGATTGTGAGATCAAACATCAGATCCTATTGTAACTTATTGTTGATTCAGGGGGAGCCCAGGATAGAGCACCATGCGCTCCCACAGTTGGGAGCTCCATCAGTCGATGGAGCTCTGTCATAGAGGCACACCTGGCCACATATTCAATTAATGTTGTGATAGGAGCAAGCCTTAAAGTTATTATTTAGAATAACTTTGTGGCTTATTCCTTGTTTTATGATGCCATTAATTGCTTTGGCATCATTAAACAAGGTTGTGTCTTAAGCTGTAACTCATGGTTGTTACAGCTTAAGACACAATTAACTAGTAATGTGGCGGCAGCCTTAGTTCTCACTGTTCTTGAATCTTTTAATGAAATATTCAAGATAATGATTGCAAGAATCCTGCTACACAAGTAAAGCAGTTTATTGTAACAAATTTAGAAGTATACAGTGCTCTGATCAGTTTACTTTATCTCTCCTGTGCCTGATACCAGATATAGATTATCCTTCCCAGTGTGAACTATCCCTTGCCTTTCTCTTCTGTCATTGCAAGCATCCTTTTTCTCTGCGTTCCAGTCTTTCCTTATGCTCCTTCTCACATAGCTTTCATTACTGATCAGCAGGGATCCTGGTTTTGTTTAAAAATCCCAGGTTCTCCAATTTAAAAAACCCAAATTCATATATACCCCAAAACACCATATATATAGGTATCAGTTGAACACAATGTTTTATTGATATATTTAGTTTTAAACCAATTTGCAAGCCTACCAATGCCTTAATCAGTAAAATAAAATAATTTCTAAATACCTATATATTTTGGCATTTGATTTGGGGTTTTTTATCATGGAAAATCAAAGCTCCAACTTCACTCACCAAGACGTGGGTCCAGCTGCAGCTATCCTCCCCCTCTTTTCCCCCCCCCCCTCCGCCCCAACCACTGTTTTGTGGCACTGAGCAGCCTTGATATGCCAGTGCCCTGCCCCTGCTATTACCCCTCATTCCTAAGCCACAGCACCCTCCCCCCCAACCCTGCTGGTGGCCCTCACTCCTGACTTGCAGCCCTCTGGCCCTACTGGTGCCTCTAATTCCCAGCCTACAGCCCCCCAGCCCCTCACTCCTGACTTGCTGCCCCCAGTCCCCCAATGCGTGGGACGGGTGGGCACATGGCCCCCAGATGTGTGCTCACAGCAGGCGTGGGGCTGCAGCCTGGCCAGGATTAGCACAGGCAGCAGCTGCATCTGCAGCCCAGCAGGCAGGACCTGGCACAGGAGGGCAGTGCAGGGCACTGAGACTCGTTGATGACAGTGCTTCCAGCCACACATGAGAAGTAATGGACTAAGGAGGGGCCACGCTGCCCTCACCTCCTCTCTTGCCAGCCACTTGCATGCTGGGCTGCATCTGTACCCCACACCATGGCCAGCTGCCACCCCTCTCCTCAGGCTGCCTGTGCTGCCTCCCACTTCACCTCCCTTCCAGGGCAGAGCCATGGCCTGAGGGGAGCAATGGTGTTGTCCAGGCCATAGTGTGGGGTAGACCCATGGCCTTCCTCCCAAGGTGCTAGCAGTGTGAAGGTGAAGGCAGTGTGCCTCCTCCCTGATCATCCTCCTCCTGCTCCCCCCAGCCCCATAGCAGCCTCTTGCAAGCTAAAACTCTGCTAGCCTGCAAGGGGAAACCTGCAATTTCTGGTGTCTTTCTCTGGCAAATGAAAAACCTGCATCCCTGGCAATCAGCAGTAACACTGCTAATAGTTCACACCCAACCCTTTAAACCCCTCTTTTCAACACTTTTGTATTTATTGCCAGTGAAGTTGCAGATAAATTCAGCATACTGGCTATCAGACCTCGTAAGGAATTTGTCATGAAATACCTTTTCATTGTCAGTCTTAGTGTCTTTCATTAGGAACATTTTTCTGGTCCAGAATGGATTTTCTGGTCTGAAGAAAAAAGGAGAGAGCAATATAACCTATAATAGCCAATATGCTTGTGATTAGGGCACTTACTTGGATAATATGATTGAAAAGGAACTCAGAATTCATTGCATTTAACTCTGTACACATACAAGATTTACTGTTCCTCATACGTGGTATACCTACTGGGCTGTTAATCTGGTCTGTACATTTCCCTGCCTTGAACAAAGATTATTATTTTATACAAAAAAGAAACAGTTTTATACCTACTTATATATAATACAAACTATACCTGATACTAGTCCAAAACCAACAAGCTCATAGTTCTTTGGGCTGGGTTTTAATAGAGTCAACAGCGTTTCAAGCTATAGTGACTCTGCAGCTCAGCGATTCCCAGTATGTGTGTGTATTCGAGATACCTCCACCTCTCCCCCCACCATAGGATCCATGTACTAATTAGCCCCCAACACGCGCGCACACATGACTGAAACAAAGTGTTCTTGTCACAGATCCTGGGTCCTCCAAAATGTATGTGCAGATGAGGCATGGGGCAACCTGATCCAGTTCCATCTCATGGTGGGTGGGGCCACACTAATTACAGTCCACACTCATGTGGCAGGCTTAGGGAGGGGCTGACAGACGTGAACTGTGTAGGGCCCTGTTTGGTGATGTTTGCCAGGCATTTAAGGCTGGTGAAGAAACAGCAGTCATTGAAAATGGGAAAGAAAGGCACAGCTCAGCTGCGGGAGTGAAGAGAAAGTAGAAATGTATTTAATGTAGTGGCTCACCATGACTTGGAAAAAAGTAAGCACTGAGGAGGATGCAATGGGCAGCACCATTTATGTATTCAAATAGCCTGCACTAGCCTATCAGCATGATGGTGTCAGCCCAGGTGATTGTACATACCTGGCATGGGAAATCCCCTTCTTCTCAGCCTTGAGTGACTTGTAGTCGAGGATGGAGACCTGTGCGTTGCACTGCTTTTGAAGTATGTAAAGACTCAACATGTAAATTACCACTTTTAAGTGGCAATGGAATTTGAAGCTTTTATTTTCTGTGATAAAATAGTAAACTAAGCTTACCTTCCTTAACTGTTGACAACCATTAAATCGTATTCACAACTTATTTTGAATTGGGGAAAAATACACCTGAAAAAAAATAGGTAGTAGATCATATAAAGCAGTTAAAAAAGCAAAGATGGGAAGGCGGGGGTATAAATGCACAGATGTGTGCATACTAAATGTGATCTTAAGATAAAACTTGTTTAATTCCCTTTGACACTGGGGAGAGCACACACACTAGTTTACACAACCTCCATATTGAATATGGGACTTGATTGCCTTCTATTTTTGTTCCCACATTGAGAGAGATTCTGCAGAAGGTGGTGAGAAATTCTGCCAGAAGACTGTGTCTAATAAACAGTGTCCATGTACATGGAGTAGCCTTGGACAAGGAGGTGGTTAGTGTCTGGAGCAAAACCAGTTTTTGAAGCCCCAGGTAATAGAAACAAATCAAAAGATCTGGTGAGGGCATGATTGTCAGGTGATCCTTGGATGTTATAAAATAAATCATCTCTATCTAGTCATTTTAGAGGGGCAGGATGAAAGGAATTTGGATTCAGAGGGAAGAAAAAGACTGTGTTCTAGAGTAAAGGCTGAGAGCAGGCAGAAGGAAAGAATCCTGAACTGCGTGGTAGACTCTTACCTGAGCCCTGAGAACCCTCAGGAATGCCAGTGAAACAGCGTTAGGGAAATTCACATAGGCATCTATTTTAAGAGCCTACCTCTTCCTTTTTTAATGCCAGCTAAATTTAAATCATGATTGAGTTTGGAACTGTTATAAAGTCTCTGTCCATCTGCTTCCACTCCTCAGGGAGACTGAATTTATAATTCAGCTATTCTGTACCAGGTAACCACTGGAGCAGAGAAAGGAAAGTAGTAATATGTGGTGTCTAGGGCAGCTGGGCATCAGGGTCCCAATTTTGTAAGAGTGGCAGAGAGTCTACACCCAGGAGATATGATGGAGGTATTAGAGTCTGAATAGTGGCTGGTACGTGATTGGCTGCCCCAGGAAGTTTACAGTATATTACCAATGTTTTTTGAGTCCCAAACATATTTTTAGGAGTATGCAGCTAGGCGGGTTCTGCCATCACTTTTTGATAAGTATCTTTTAGCAGCAATGTGCAGTGCTGAGCATACAAGTGTCTTCCCATTTCTGGTGCTTACAATCTGACTGATGTCCAAGAAATGCTGGGATTATGTTGGTGCATCCCAGTATAAGCATAGCAAGATAATTCATTTATCATGAAACTTTCAAACTATTTTTCACACAGGAACACATCATACCTATAGACTAATAAAAGCCACTTTCAAGTAGCCAGATTCTTTTCCTAGTCATACACCACTGAAATTGTTTACTGTATTTCATGACTTCATATACAGGCTATGCATCTCTTAAAAATATGGGTTTTTTTCTGTCCATGCTAAGATTCTTCCAAATGTATAACCCAATTATTCCAGCATGTTAGTAGAATTCCATTTGGAAGATTCTGTAATGTGTAAGTAACACAGTCTTCTTTTTGGACATACAAATTCAGTCTGATATACAGAATAATTAATACAGTAAAACTAAATTAGAAGCAGTTCAGGATGCATTCTTCTCTCCTTTGTTGTATTTTATACTGGGCTATCATAGAATACAGGGCTGATGGATGAGTGTCTGACCTAGTATGGCAACTCCTTTATCCTTAAGAATGCAAATTTGGTTCATCTGTATTTGCCTATATTTGTTTCAAATGAAAAAGCAGAATGCACTGTCATAAAAAAATGACTGCTAAGATTGACACCTAAAAGTTCAGCTTCATTGAAGGGATGGGGTAGAAATAATTGCTTATTAAATAAAACTTTTTCACAACTTTTTTTTATTTTTAAAAATCAGTTGTACTGAAGCTGAATACATCCATTTGTATAAATGTCTCCATTGCACAGGCAAGCAAATTCATTTTTTGCCCCCAGTGCAGTATCACCTTTTAATTACTACAGTATAAAATTAACCTTCAAAGTCTAAAATGTTCTAAAGGGATTATGATTGATTTAGATGCTCTGATTTCCCTGTTTTTACCTTTTAGAAGGTCTAAATTGATAATATAAACACCTTTCATTAAAATAGTGTGGGAGCTTACCTTTAAGGATCTCTGGGGAGGTGTTTGCCTCTTACCTCTTAAACTCCAGCAATGAATGGGATAAGCATATTGTAATTTGGACTAACAGATCCTTCAAGTGTAAAAACTTGTTACTCTTATGTCAGTCAAGTCAAAATGCAAAATATACTTGTAACCCTAAAATTAGTATGATACATTTGGAAACTAGTCACATAATTAAGTCCAGTTTCAAAGTAATGTATACTTTTGAATTTAAACCATAGCAAATTTAAATATTTAGAGACACGTAATTGAGAGAGATTCATGGCCCCAAAAATAACAGAACTTTGAGCGACATCATTTGATTTACTTACGATTTCAGTTTAATTTTTCTTGCAAAAAATGAGTGGTGAAGTATTATCATCATTTATTTAATAAAGGTTATATATCTTATTTTAAATCTTTCATATTCAGTATCTCATAAGAGGGTAGTCTCAGAAGGAAGCTAAAATCCATCTTCAAGTCTGTGCTTTGAGAAGTACATGGATGGCTTAAAGCTGTTTCTCAGCGTCTTAAGGAGGAAAAAGGTCACTTTTTGAAAGAAAAGGGGAAATGTGTACAAAAAAAAATTATTATTCATTTTCCCTTCATTTTTTAATTTAATCTGTTTCTCATATTTTTCTAAAGATGAATTATGTCACCTTGATAACTTTAGATACACTCTTATACATGATCACAACTTTAGGAATGTTTCCAGCTGTCTGCAGTTGCTGAATTTCTTAATGCTCAAACACTGAAATGAACTGGATTTCTTAGTATACATTTTTCTAATCAAATGAAGTTAAGGTGTTTCAGTTGATGCAGCTTCTAAATATGTTGTGAAAGTTGTTCTGTACAGTCATAATGTCATGCTCTGAATTCTATAGTTCTTTAACATTCCATAACTTCATCTTTTTTATTTCTACAAGTTGAAGTGAAAGACCACTTGCTGGTATTTTCATTCGATCTTCTACTTAAAGGATTAAGTTTTAAATGAGGATGACTTTTTTTTTTCACATGCTTATAAAGTTAATAAAGCATTTCAGAATAAAAGGCACTATAGAAATGAAAGCTCACGTTTCCTCAAATCAGGTCACTTAACACTGGTTTGTAAAGTAGGTTCTTGAACTGGTCTTCCCTTGATTTTTCTTTTCAGTGTTATGTGAGAATATAGCAAGGCTGCTTTAATCAAATTATTCTTTTTTTTCTTTTGTAGGAGAGTAGAAACAGCAGTAGGTCTTCTAGTCCTAGCGTGAGAATGATCACTACCTCGGGACCAACCTCTGAAAAGCCAGCTCGTAGTCTTCCATGGACACCTGATGAATCTACAGGTGATACTTTTTCTTCATTTTTGCCTTTTCCCTATCTAAGTTTCTTTTAATTGATCATTTGGATGTATAAACACTACAAAGAAAAATCAAGTAATTGCTTTTAGTCATTAATCTTTGTTGCATTTCATACACTGAGTATATAAGTTCTTTAAGCAGACAGTATTAACCCTGTATCTTGCTTTTTATAGATTGTATTTAATTTCTATAGGCTATTATAAATCAAATATTATGCAGAACTTTTTTTAACATAATTTTCTCTACTACATTTGTCAAACACCCTGAAACATTATTCTAGTATTATAAAAGCCTACGTCTGTCTGTCTGTCTGTCTGTCTGTCTGTCTGTCTGTCTGTCTGTCTGTCTGTCTGTCTCACTTTATTTGCACTCTGATTGGCTGACGGAAACAGCAGTCAGAGTGCTCTAAGCATGTGGGAGCACCGCCATGATTCCAGAGCCGCGCTGAGGACCAGACAGAGGGTGGGGGAGACGAGGTCAGCAGCACTGCCCTCAGCTCCCCCAGCCCACTCCCAGCAGGTCGTGCCAAGGACCAGATAGGGTAGGGGGCCTCGGCTCCCACACCCCACTCCCTGCAAGAGGCAGGACAGCAGCTGCATGGGACGGTAAAAGCTGACTTATCCAGCACCTTACAAGCCAGCATGCTCTGTTAACCAGCATGCTGGCTTGTAAGGGAAAAATAAAACCAGAGGTGCCCACCATGGCACTTCCGGTTTTGCAGAGTCTCCATGGCCTGGGGGAAAGCAGCCTGTGCTGCCAAGCCCCCACGGCCTGGAGCATAGCAGCCTGTGCGAGTCCCCACTCCCTGTCCCACGAGTCCCACGGGAGGGGCAGCAACACCCCAGACATGGCAGGACAGACAGCAGCCTGAACAGGCAAAGAGGCCTGTTTGGGCTGCTCAGTTAACTGGCATATTTTGTTATCTGGCACCCTCCATTCCCCGTGGGTGCCGGATAACAAAGCTATGTGTTACCAGTGCGTGCACATCCTAGATTTCATAGAACTCTTATGATATTTGGCAAGTTGCTTTTTTAACAAGCTCTAGTATACCCCCCCTCTACCTTTCAGAGGCAGTGGGTGGTAGCCTGGGACCCAATAATCTTTCTGATGTGCCAACCCTACAGAACAATGGATCTTCTAGAGGTCCAACTTAAGATGAATATGGGTAGCATATTCAGCCCTGCAAAAATTACACCTATGTTATAATTTTTTATGGTCTTGTAAAATATTTGTATATACACAAGATATTGGAAGGTGTTTTATAGAAAATGTAGCCAAAATTTTGTTTTGTAAAGCATTGTATACATTTTGCATGAGTGTCACTGGGGATTTCCTGTTATGAAATATGGTGAAGAGGAAATTACCACTTTTAAGTGGCAATGGGATTTTTAGCATTTATTTTCTGTGATAAAATAGTAAACTAAGCTTACCTTCCTTATCTGTTGACAACCAGTAAATCATATTCACAACTTATTTTGAATTGGGAAACATACATCTAAGAAAAAAATAGGAGTAGATCATATAAAGCAGTTAAAAAGCAAAGATGGGAGGGTGGGGGGGAGGTGTAAATGCACAGATGTGTGCATACTAAATGTGTTCTTAAAATAAAGCTTCATAGATTTCATAGATATAGGGTCGGAAGGGACCATGCAGATCCTCCAGTCTGACCCCCTGCCCTGGGCAAGAGAGAAAAACGACCTCAGCTAGGTAATTGTCAAGCCTCCTTTTAAAGACCCCCAAGGTAGGAGCCAGCACCACTTCCCTTGGAAGTTGGTTCCAGATCCTAGCCGCCCTGACTGAAGTAGTGCCATCTAATGTCTAGTCTGAACCCACTCTAACAACTTATGGCCGTTATTCCTTGTTACTCTGGGAGGCGCTTGGGGGAACAAGGTCTCTCCCATTCCCCGCTGGTCACCCCCCTAGTAAGTTTATAGACAGCCACCAGGTCCCCCCTCAGCCTTCTCTTGTGAAGGCTGAACAGGTTAAGATCCCGTAGCCTCTCCTTATAGGGTCTGCCCTGCTGTCCCTGGATCATGCAAGTGGCCCTCCTTTGGACGCTCCCAATGCTGTCCACATCCCTCCTGAAGTGCAGTGCCCAGAACTGGACACAGTACTCCAACTGTAGCCTGACCAGTGTCACATAGAGGGGGAGGATCACTTCCTTGGCCCTGCTTGTGATGCATCTGTGGATGCACGACAATGTGCGTTTAGCCCTGCTGACCATGTCCTCGCATTGTCGGCCTATGTTCATCTTGGAATTGATAATGACTCCAAGATCTTTCTGCCACTGTGCTTTCGAGAAGAGAGTTCCCCAGCCTATAGGTATGCTGCTGGTTCTTACTGCCCAAGTGCAGCACCCCGCACTTGTCAGTATTGAATCCCATCCTATTCTCATTTGCCCATCCCTGTAACCTTTCCAGGTCCAGCTGTATCCTGTCCCTCCCTTCTAGCATGCCCACCTCACCCCAAACCTTGGTGTCGTGTGTGAATTTAAACAGGGTGCTTTTCACCCCCTCGTCCATGTCGCTAATAAAGAAAGTGAACAGTGCAGGCCCGAAGACCAAGCCCTGGGACGCTCCACTGCTCACATCCCTCCAGGTCGAATATGATCCATCCACCACCACTCTCTGAGTGCAACCGCTCAGCCAATTTGCAATCCATCTGACTATGTAGGCATCAATGCCACAGTCGCCTAGCTTTTTAATGAGAATGGGGTGGGGTCAAAGGCCTTCCTGAAGTCCACCGCGACACCTGCGTTCAATGATTTTGTGACCTGATCATAGAAGGCAATCAGGTTGGTCTGACAGGACCTGCCCCTAATGAAACCATGCTGGTTGCCCCTGAGCATCATCCCCGCTGCTGGCCCCTCACAGATGTACTCCTTGATAATCTTCTCAAAGAGCTTCCCCGGGATCAAAGTAAGACTAACGGGCCCATAGTTACCTGGGTCCTCCCTCCTCCCTTTTTTGAAGATGGGGACCACATTGACCTTCTTCCAGTCATCCAGCACCTGGCCAGAGCACCATGAGTGCTCATAAAGCCAAGCTGGGGCCCCACAATAACCCCTGCCAATTCCCTCAAAACCCTGGGGTGGAGAACATCTGGACCTGCTGATATGAACACGTCCAGCCCCTCCAGAAGTTCCTTAACTCGGTCCTCCCTGACCCTAGGCCTGGCGGAGTCTCTCCTGAGTCCGTCCTGAATCTCGGTGGGGGAGTCCCAGTCCCTGCACAAGAAAATGGAGGTAAAGAAATTGTTAAAATGGTCTGCTTTTTTCTCTAGTGCAACTGCCAGATTGCCTGGCATATCATGCAGGGTCCCCACATTACCCGGTGCCTTCTTCATATTCCCTGTGTATTTAAAAAAGGACTTTTTGTTGTCCTTGATGCTAGCCCTAGTTCCATATCTGCCTTAGCTTTCCTAACAGCCCCCTACAGACCTGAGCGATGGAGGTATACTCCTCTTTGGTGATAGCCTCTCCCTTCCACTGGGTGTACGCCTCCTTTTTGGCAATCAGGCATTCTCGAATGCCCTTGGTGAGCCTGAGGGGCTTTTGAGCACTCTTGCCCTCTTTGATTCTCATTGGGATTGTCACCCCTTGGACTCTGAGTATCGTCTCCTTAAGGAATGACCACTCATCTTGGGCACCCAGTTCCCCTACTCTCCAGGACCCCAGTGCCTCTCCTACCAATCTCCTCAACTCAGTGACGTTGGCCCTCTTGAAGTCAAGGGCTACTGCCTTGCTGCAGGCCCTTGACACCCTGCGCTGGATGGTGAATTCCAGCAGGCGATGATCACTGTCACCCAGGTGGTTAAGAATCTGGAGTCCCCTCACCAGGTCGTTGCCTGTGGCCAGGACCAGGTCCAGCAGGGCATTTCCCCTGGTGGGAATGTGCACCTCCGAAGTTAAGTAGAGGTCCTGTATCTCGGCAAGGAAGCTTGTTTAATTCCTTTTGACACTGGGGAGAATGCACACTCTAGGTACGCAACCTCCATACTAAAACAAAACAACAAGGATATTGGACAAATTCAACACAAATCATAGAAAGATCGCTACTTGAATATAGCAGCACAGGGGTCTCCCAGACATCCCTCAGAGAGATGCTATTATTGCTGTGCAGACAATAACACATTATAGTGTATTGAGCCACTGGACTTCCGGTAGTCTGATACACTGCCTTGAATTATGATATCTCTCATTGCTCATCGCAAAGTTCCTGCTTTTTACAGTAACAATAGAAGTAAAGAGGATGAATCTATTACATAGTATATTGGACTACTCAAACTGAAATTCTCAGGATAATCACTCATGCTTAAGATAATTTTGTATGTATTGATGTGTTTGTGACCCAAATGAACAAATTAGCAGTTTCAGTTTTGTAATAAGGTTATAGGTGGAGATCACCTATCTGTAGAGGAGAATTTTCCAAACAGAATATTGGATTACACTAGTTTAAATTTTTTGGTAATTGACTCCCTGAATCTTGATAGGCTCTTCTCCACAACTTTCCAGTCTCCTTTTCTAACAGACACTTCACATTCCTTTCTCCATTTCCACCTTCCTATTTCCTTTTCCTTTTGGAAGTTGTTAGATATGGCATTGTCTCTGAGAAGCAATCCAGGTGGATAAAAATAAACAGTTTTTTTTAATAAAAAAATACCAATCAGATTTTTTTTAAATGATTTTTTAAAAATAAACCAATATAAGGATACTTTTAATTTAAAATATGTTGAAGCTCAAAGATGTCATAATAGAATAGTGATTATAACTTCTAATTATATACTATTTGAGACCATATATTTATGTAATCTTTTTAGAAAAGTTTTATAAATAGGTCACAACAGGACATGGACTATATTAGGGGTCCAATCTTATGGGGTTCCCAGGGGCTCCTCTGTAGATTAGTAAAGATTAAAGAAAACCACTTGACCCAATGAGACTCAGTGCTCAGTCTAGAGGATCCCATGAAGCATCTCTGTGATGCTTAGTTTCAGTTTTCAAACTGTGGATTTGTGTTTCCAGAGATAATATCCTTGCTAACAGCAGTATATGGAGATGAGAAATAAGATACCTGATTACCTACCCATTAGCCGTATTGTCTCTCTGGAAGGTTATGTACACAGAATCGAGCCGTTCCCTCTCTCTAAAAGTGCAAAGTTTAAAGTTAAATGAATAGATGATTGTTGTGGGTGGAGTAGATCTGGGCAAGGAGGAGGAGTCTGGAGATAAATGCAAGGAGGGAGGGGCAGTAGAAGCAAGAGAGAAACATGTTGAGCAGAATAGTCCAGAAGCCTTGAGGGATAAATTTCTGGGTATAGCCTCTCCATTGATTTGAGATCTAGCAAGGAAATGGTATGGTAGAAGGCAAAACCTATCATGGCAATAATTAGAAATTCAAAAATACATATGCTTGTTTTGTTAAAAACAATTATACATGTTGTTGAAGAAAAATATCGGAAATACGTAAGCTTATTTTAGTGGAATAAAACAATTTTTAAATGTTTGTTGTTTTTAGTGACTATTGTTATTGTCCTCGTAATACAGCATAGTAAAAATATGCCCCAAATATCCATGATTACCCTAGTGAATTGAAGATAGTTCACCTCCCAATGACTTCGCAAGTATCCGTTTCAATTAGCTTTGGTAAATAAAATAACCAAATAATAATTTAGTTTTCTGATGTAGCTGCAAAATTAATCTGAAAAATATCAAAATAAATCACTGCTTTGAAACATATAGTGTGTACCTTCCAAAAATGAAACCTACATCTATCCCTGAGTTGTGAATAATATGTATTACGGCTATATCAAACAATAAGAATGCACTTTTTGTCAAAAACTGTTATTAAATTAGGGTTTCCTGACAAATGATTTAAATCGTGATTTAAGTAATGATTTGAATCAAATCCACCCTGGAGGTGCAATCCCTTAGTTTCTTTTCTACAACTATTCTACGGGAAGTGCTTTTGGGGCATGGTTGCGCCTCTTTTGCATACCTCTTAACGTGTGCTCTTCTGATAGTAACACAGAGGTGGACCAGTGGTTTCTCTATGTAATCTACTGTTGTGTTTCTTAAGACTTAGTAACGGCCCTGTGTTCTTCACATACTGTGCTTCTGGAAACAAGAAAATCTTAAATTTCAGAAATATGTAGTTATTCTGGAGCTGGAGTCATCAAGAAGTCCCATAGTTCTGCAGGGTTGGGAAAGGGCAACCAAGTCCTTCAGAAAGATTATTGGGTCCCAGGCTACCACCCACCAAAAGGTAGAGGTTGTTAAAGAAGCAACTTGCCAAAGATTGTAAGAGAGTTCATTCTATAACTGAGCAAAAGACTTATGCTTGTTTTTTGTCAGACTAGGTTCATGTAGTCTTCATTTGAATTCAGCAGATGGGCTGGCTGACTAGATTGGCTGAAAATGCAAAAAGCTGCATAGAACTGAGTTGCATAACTATGATTCATAAATGTATAAAAATAATGTAAAACTTTGTTTTTGTTTCCACGTGCTTTGTTCTGAGATTGAAGACTCATTTAACTGCACTGGGGTGGGAGGCTACATGTTAGGATATGTACAACAATATTTCCATGCATCTGTCTCCTTATTGATGTATAGTTTTATTAGATAATATTTTCATTTTTGCAAGGAATTGCACTTTTGTGTGTGCTTAATGTAGAAAAGAACTGTTAGCTGAACGGAAATTATAACTGTGGTGGTACTGTTACAGATACTAATGGATCGGATAACTCCATCCCAATGGCCTATCTTACACTAGATCATCAGTTGCAGGTAATAAGTATATGCTTTATTAGATTCTGAAATTTTAATTCATTTCAAATTATTCTAGAAGTGATGATATTGTTACTGACTGCAATTTTTTTATGCTTATTTATGTATGGTTTTTTTTTTTGGCGTAACTTTTGAACATGGCTAAAAAAAAATCTGCAATCTGAGATTGCTTGACTCAGATTTGATCAAGCTATTAAAAACAAGTTCAGGGAAATATGATCTTTTAAACCAATTGAAATCTTCATTTAACCATCTGAATAAGAAATCATTTGTTTGAGGTCATAGATTCAAATTGCTGTATTCTCATTCAAACTTTATTTGCTCTGTGGATGGTCAAACAGTACTCTAGTCATCATCCCTTGAAAGAGAATGTGTTAGAGCAATAAATGTAGATTTTTTTAGTCTGAGTCAACTTTGGCAACAGTGCACTGAGATTTTTCCAGGGTATGGTTTAACACTTATTTTTAAAAGCTTAGTAGTTTCTGAACCCTGGTAGAATGTCTGTAATTATTTATAACACACTATTTATTGAGATATCGGTTGATTTAGTTTTTAACATGTCTGATTTATTTTCAGCCTCTAGCACCATGCCCAAACTCCAAAGAATCTATGGCTGTGTTTGAACAGCACTGTAAAATGGCACAAGAATATATGAAAGTTCAAACAGAAATTGCATTGTTGTTGCAGCGAAAGTAAGTAAAACGTTGTGAACTTTTCTGACCTCATACTTTCAGATTCCTTGTACATTACAATAAACCTTGCAACCAGTTGATTTCTTTTAATGCAGTAACATCTTATAGAGAAAAGATAGTCATTCCCAAATTTATGATCTCTTTGAAAAATAATATTTCAAGCTTTTGAACATAAAGCTACTACTTGTAGCTACTACAAGTAGTTGAGAGATTTCAGTCTCACAATTTTGTCACATCCCTTCATGACAGCCTGTAAAAACTGTTTACTTTTGTTTTATGTCCTTGTAAGGCATCATGCAGTTTAAGTTCACATAATACTTGACCTAGCAGTTTATTTACATTTTTAACGCTTAATTTGTACTTATTTGGGCAATGTATTTTAGCACAGTGGCTAATTACCAGGTGTTTCACATTTTGGCAACTGTTTTTGGGTTGTACTCTAGCATCTAAATGCTATATATACTGAGAAAGCACAATGTACTTCTCAGGGCTGCTTTCCCATGGATTTAAGCCATAATCCAGAAAAGTACTGAAGCACATGCTTGCCTTTAAGCACTGGGGTAGTCTTAGTGATGTCAGTAGGACTCTTAACATGTTTGAAGTTTAAGCATGTGCTCAAGTGCATTGCTTGGTAAAGGCCAAAGTGATTGCTGGATCAGAGCTGCATCCTGCAATATATCCCATTGTGTTCTGCCTTCCCTCACTCTTGGCTCCTGACAATTTCTTGATGATGGGGAAGCAGCAGTGAAAGGTCACATGTACCAAGAAGTGGTGGAAGTGCAACTGTGAGCAACTGGCCCACTGCCACCCAGTGTCCAAGGAAATGCAGGCAGGCAGTGTGAGGCTCTCAGTCCTCTTAAAGAGCAGATTGTCTTTTGGTTTTTCTTTGGTGTGGCCTACACAGAAAACCAGAGGCATCTGTGACACTTATGTGGAGGCAGCAGGAGCAGCACTCTGTAATGAGGCTTCTGCTTTGACAATTGGAGAAAAGGAAGAAATATGGTAACTCAGTTAATTTTCACATTCGCAATCCGAGGACAAGATTTCTCATATATTGGTCCCTGGGGCTGTCACTTAAAACTAGGCAGTGTTGGGATTAACATATTTATGGGGGGAAGGCATTAAATAGTATTGTTTCTGCACATTCTTAAAGTATGGGCTGTGAAATGAGTTACTAATTGCATGTTTTGGTTCTTGTCCTATATATAAAGTACAGTTTTATTCAGTTCCCCTTCGTTTCCAGGCAATGTGATCATGCAGTTCTTCTATTCTTATCAATACAAGTGAAATTCCTTTCTTTTACCAATAATAAAACTATCCATATATATTTTAAAAATATAATGATATGTGTGTGTGAATAATACCATGTCTTAATTGTTGATGAGGCAGATAAAATGTTACGGCGCATCTGTATTTTGTTTACTGGAAACTAGTATATTAACTTTGTTCTTTACCATTTTATTGCTAAACATTGCTGGCAAATTTGTCCTCCCATCACCTCATAAACCAGGGGTGGCCAACCTGGACCTGTGCTGCAGGCAGTGTCTGTGCGGCACATTGGGTAGGGATAGAGGAACTCAGTGACAGGGCAGGGAGCAGAAAACAGAGCAGGAGATCAGGTGGGGGAAGGTGACCAGAATGGCACTTGAGGAAATCAGGGGGCATTCGTGGCATGCCTGCCAAAAGGTTTTCCCCCCACCATAAGCAATTAGAAAAAAAAAAAGGCATTCTAGTTAGCTTGTTAAGAAACTATTTTGTAAAACCAGTTTGTAGTAACTGTTCGTGTTTATTTGCTCCTCTAAAAATAGTTGCTGGAAAACATATTGAATGCTTACTGCATCAATTAACTGAGAAGACAGTTGTGAAAATAGTCTGCCTGACTCTTGTTTCCACTATTTTAACAAGAGAGTTGCTTAAAATAGAAAACTAGCTGTTTTGAGAGATGTGAAAAATTCCAAGAGTTAGTTTAGTTTTTCCAGAACATAATAAAATTTCTGCTATATGATTGCATTTGTTCTTGCTACAATGATTTTTTCTATCTAGCACTGTAACATTTAACAGCCTCTCTTCTTGTAAGAATAAAATTTAAAAATATAGTTAAATATGTAATATACTTATGGTAATTTTTGTACAGTTGCACTATACTATTGCATTTTAAAAGCCATTATATATAAAAAGCATGACTTTAGAAGCAGACAATTATGCTCTGCAGCTTTGAATGACTGTGGCTATGATTTAAGAGTAAATATTTCCCCTGTATGTTAAATTACAAATTGGTAGGATTTTGTCATATTACTTCATGTTTTTCATGAAGATATAATGATAAATGAAATACAAATTTTAATTTGATTAAAAGTGAAAATATAGAGCAGAGGCTAAACACATAAGCAAGTAGATATGAATGGTTTTTGTTCTCCATAGCATTTTAATGCTATCCTTTTTTTTTTGTTTTTTGTTTTGTTTTGTTTTGTTTTTAGACAAGAACTAATAGCAGAACTGGACCAGGATGAAAAAGACCAGCAAAACACATCCCGTCTGGTGCAAGAACATAAAAAGCTGTTAGATGAAAACAAAAGTCTTTCAACATACTACCAGCAATGCAAAAAACAATTAGAGGTCATCAGAAATCAGCAACAAAAGCGGCAAGGCACATCATGATTCACTGGGACCTTTCTAATGAAAAATATGCACACAAAAGACTGTTTTTTTTATTATTCCTTATTTTGACAACTGATGAGTGTTAGCTTCTTGGTGTGTTCTGAATGCCTATATTTGTCTGCTGCACTTAAAACATCATTTAATTTTCCTTTTCCTATGGTGAACATTCAGTTCAACAGGTTAATCAAATAAGATGGGAGAAAATTGACTTGAGTTAATCAATGGCACTCAAGTTAAAGCAAATACAGTGAACTGTGGCTGTATGCATGTTCCTTGTGTGAAGGCTAGCCTAACAGATGTTAAAGTGGCTGCTAAATTATAAGATCTTGTTTTTAATTTTTGGTGTTACCTCGATAAGAGCAAAACACAAACTCTTCTGGTTTAGAATGGTTTTGTTCTTGTGTCTCATCTCAAGAAAATTTACGATGACAGTCATTTTCAGGATTTAAACATGTACCATACTGCAGAGATGATGTTGTTTGACCAATAATTCATGATGCATTAGTGAGACATTTTACCTTTAGGCTTGGTGCATTTTTCCAGATGAAAAATATTAATCAAACTGATGCCAGCATTGGTTCAGAACTTGATGACCCTGCATTTTGACTGAAATGTTTCTTGTAATCTTGTATTCATAAAATATTTGAAGTAAAAGATTATTTTCTTTACTTTCATGTGGGGGGGATGATGTGCAGGGCGTGGCATGCAGTTTTATCTAATCATACTGAGCAAAAAGTATTGTGATTTATTGGGTAAAAAGGTCTCGTATAAAAGAAACCAATTAGAATGTATACAAATGCGTGTTGAAGCTTAACGCTTTTGTGCCTGTATCATCATTTTCAGAAAGATATTCAGAAAGCAAATGAACATAAAGGTTATAGAATCATTCCCTCTATAGTAGTTATTGGGATATTTTTTTACAATCTATTTGAAACACTGAAAAATGTGGCAGCATTCACCATAGATGTAAATCAGTTTGTTTTCAGTAAGGAACTGGAGGCTGCTGAGAGAATTTTATTTATTTAAAATACAAAATCTTGTATTGGAGACAGGAATGCAGATGGAGGAAGCTGGTGTAAGAAAATGAGAGAATTTACTTAGGTCTGAATCAGGAATCTTAGTTATTCCAGTCATTTGATCACAGTTCAAAGCAAGCCCATCATAGAGTGCCTGCTGTCCTTACTAATAACAGAAGCGTTGCATATAACTAACTCAAAGCATGAAATGGTCAGTATCTTTAATAGTCGTGATTATGTTGGCAGAAATAACGACTGTTTACAGTAAAAAATGCTTATTTGGATTATTTCACCTGGTAGAAAAATGAGGATTTTTTTCATAGTCATAACTTATTTCTTAAATAAGCTGTTGGTGTTTTTTAGTAGCATTAATATTTTGTAATGAGAAAATAGAAAATGAAAATTTAGATGCTGTGTCCTCAAAATACCAGAGATGATATAAACATTTGATTATTTAATCATTGTGCTTTATTTCAAATGAGTAATTATTGCAAGGGCCCGACCGTTAGGTGAACTTAACAGGATATTAGTAGTAACAAACCTTGCAGTTTTCCTCTTCCCCTCTTCTATCTAATAAACTTTGATATTACTGTGTGAGTAATTAAAAATATCAAGGATGAAAGATAATTTACTGAATGGCTTCATTCTGACTTCAAAATAAATCTATTATTGACAGTCGTTTGGGAGTTAAAGCCCTTCCTTCATTTTATTTAAATAAAAGAAGGGTTATCATTCCCGAAACCTTAGCAGATAATTTGATTAGTAAGCTGAAACTGATATTGGGATCAACTTAAGGGCACACATATTTATAGCAAAATGTAATTGGCAAAGAAAATAACTGTAGTATTAGGAATAGCACAAGTTATCCAAAGCATTGCTCTTTGCATACATCTGTCCATCTACCAAAATGGACACTGTCAGTGTTCAGCAGCTTTCTTAATGTGTTTAAGCATGAAGTAGAGCAGCATAAATACTAATGGTTGACTTCACATGCATGGTTAATAATTAGAAAAAGAAAATTGTTTCCCAGGACAGTTACTGGGGTTTTGCGGTGTCATAATATGTTTTAAAAAAAACCCAACAGTACTAATACTTCATGTGCGAAGTCACTTTATGGCAAAGTTTGATTAATGGAAGTGAAAGCAATGCTAACATCATTTAAGGGTACATAATATGAAAGTGTAATTTTACAGTTGCTTATAACTTCTTAAGTTTACATTTAAAAAGGGTCTTGGATCATAAGTACTGTACATTTACTGTACACTATGGAATTCAGCTCTATTAAATATTTAGATTGTATTGCCAGTCTAACTAATTTACAGAAGGGAATATCTGCTTTTCAGCCCTTCCTCTTCAAATTCCACCAAAAATTGAAACTATTAACCCTACTTTGTTAGTGAAGTGTTCTCTGTGAGCAAGATGCATATACACCCATCATAGAAAATCTAACGGACTTTCTAATGGCAATCTGTGCTAAGCAGAATTAGCAGTTTACTGTCGAGTGACTTTAGCATTTTCAAAAGCTCTTGTTTTGAAGTTGTTTACAAGTGTACTTTTTATCTTTCTGCTTAAACTATTTTGGAGTGTTCAGGAACTATTTCAGGTCCTCTTCTATTCAGTTAAAGCTACCCCTCTGATCATGGAGGTGAAACATCTAGTTTTGTCCAGGCACTGCCTTTTCATTCTCAAAACAGTAACAGGCTCTGCTTTTGGTTAATGTTTTGTGTAAAATATTGTGTAATGAAAGTATGCTTCTGTATACTGTGCTGTTCTACCAAAAATGCTTTTTTTTAGGCTTTATTTTTTTTTGATGAAAAGTTGAAGATTGTAATTCAAAACTTGTACATAAAATGGTGATTGATTTCATATGATCTAGGAATGAGCAGTGTGGCTTTCTGCTACAGGGGTGTATTACACTACCAGGAATATAATTAATAAAAGTGAGCGATTTCAACGAAGTTGTAATCCTCCGACACTTGCCAGGGCATCCCAGATCTGTGAAGGAATTCCCCTCTCCACCCCCGTATCAGGGTAGGAGACGGCTTTTGAGCAGTTGTTCTCACCATCAAAAGAAATTGCTTGTGTTCTTGATGTTCCCTTGGTGGCATACAGAGGTACAGCTGTGGACAAGCAGTTCCTGTAAGCTCCATATTGGGAAACAAAGAACCTTGTGCTTTCAATATTCATGCTCCCTCTTCTTCACCATTGAATCTTCCCTTAACAATCCTGTTTCATAGATATTTACCTTGTTCTGTTACTATCACACTCCTTTCCTTCCCTTTTGTAAGAAGCTTCAGCAGAGCTATGTAGATAGTCTTCAGTAAATCCAATGAAAATCATTTCTGGGTAACACAGGCCATTTGTACATGTGTTCACCACTTTCTAATCCATGTCAACTGATTTGCATTATCCAGTTTGAATCTAATTTCAATTTGAATTAAGGGTTAATAGATAATCATTGACCATCATCCCCTTAACAGACCCAATTTGCAGCCTCTATGTATGGGCTTATGGTTGGAAGTAATTAGGAGGCAATAATAAGCCTATTAAAGCACTGCTACATTGTTATGAACCTACTGAGAGATAAAGTGCTGTTCCAGAAGCCATAACAGATGCAGTTGACCTCAGTGTTGATGACCATCTCAGCGAACGTGTTGGGGGGAGGGAACAAGGGGGCTTGCCCCTTTCTTCACAGACCGGTAGTCTGCGTGCTTGGACAGGGCTCTGGGTGTCATTGGCACATTTGACTTCGTAAAGGTGTTACTTTGTGCCTGATAGCCTGTGTGGTGTTGCAGAAACTCAACTGAGTTTCCTTTGCGGGGATTGATATTTGCAATGCTTATCTGATGAGTTCCTAAAGTTTTTTTTTCCCCCTAAAATCAGTGCTGCATATACGTATTGGTTAATACCGTTTAAATTGCCTAGTTTGGACTGGAGCCAATCTTAATTCAGACTACAGATGTCCATGTGCATATAGTAGTCTGGATTAAACCTAGAAAAATGTAACGTTTATAAACAGCTGCTATGTCTACCCCAGATCTCTCCTAAAGCCAGAGGACTGCCCTGTCCAGTCCAGATATTTGTGATGACCTGTTCAAACCTACTAAAAACGTGGCAATAGAAGCAGTAGGGGGCAAACGTTCAACTGCTGGGGTGACTGCACTGTACAGGCTGAGAGGAGAACCCTGCTAAGGTAAGCATCATAGAAATATTATGTGGGTTTTTAAACAGATTTTTTTGAAAAGACAAAGCTTTCCAAATTGATCCATGTAAAGTTGACTCACCTTTTTTTAAAATGCTCTCAGATTGTGATGCGATTTGAGGGCTTTTTTGAAATAAGTGTCAGTGATTTGCATTCTAGGCTTCCTGTTTGCCAGTTACTAAATCCTGACGAGATGAAATTCAAGTTGTGTGCATTATGTTTATTAGTAAGAGTGAACCAAATTAATACTTAGAAACAAATCCACTTTGTAACCTGGCAGAGCCAGGAGTGGGGAGGCTTCTTGTTGTACACTAAATTGCAACAACCTTTTATAAATTGTTTAATTGTGGATATTCAGTGACAATTTATTTCTCCTTTGGCCGTATGTGCATGGCCAGTTTAATCAGGATGATGCAACAGAATTGAGATTAAACTAAATCATTGTTTTTAATTATGATACTGTCCTCAATTAAGTGTGTTTTTAAAATGAAAATTGATTTGTGGAAATTTAACCTAAGAGTCTGAGAGACCAGCAATAAGAATTATATTCAGATTTGTGTGCTTTGCCCTCTAAGTTACTAATAGTTTGTTATATTAGAAGTATAAAATAGGCTTGTGTTCTCTTATTTATTTATGCTTTGTGATTACAGCCCCTAACCCCCCCCCCACACACACACACAATTTTAACCTGGCTCTCAAAAGTAGTTTATGAATATTAGTTAAGGATTGGGGTTTTGTTTCAGTTTAAAATTGTCCAGACTGAATCACTAAAATGTTAAAGGGTAGCCAACACCAAAGACCAAGATACTGTTAGAGTTTGGGTTACAAACAACAGAGCCTTGCTTCTAGTTTAAAAAACAAACATTTCCCTATTTTCTGTATGGTGATCAAAATACTGCATGGTGATTTAAATATCTTCCAGTAAGCCAAAGATGACTGGATGGTATGAGCAACACACATTCCAAGGTGGCTACCAGGAGAAGTGAGGATGTCTAATTCAAGACTGAGTCAAAATCTATCACAACCTGTCTTCCAGATGGTTCCTTGTCCCTATAATATAAACCTAATAGTGCAGCAATGAACTAAGGAAACCCCATTCTAGAGATGCAAAATGATTCCATCCTTGGGAAAGGATCTTTTAAGATGATGAGGTCTGCCTATTTCTAGCTTCACCCTCTGGACTACATGTGACTTAAATCAAAGAAAGAAGGACAAGTGGTAGGGAGGTTTAGAAAGATGAGCTCCTTGTCCTGGAGGGTTGGTGTTGGATAGCTCCCAGAGGAGCTATCTGTCAACACTGGCAAGAAGTGCAGTTGGGAGGTAAAGAAATGGCTGGGAGCAGAGGTGTGGGAGCAGTGAAGCTGGCCTAGTAGCCTCTATGTCCAGGGCCCTGGACTGGAGCTTGCGGAGCATAGTGACCCCACTATTTCCTCCCTACCAGCGATAGGATAGGGACCGTTACCATGAATCTGGTGACTTGGTGAAGACTGTTGGGTGTCATTGCCTAAAGAATTCGCCCTATGCCTGAAGAAGGGTGTTTGTTCCTGAAAGCTTGCAAAGAACAGTTTTTCCAACTACTTGGTCTAATAAAAGATATCTCATCTACCCAAAGAACCTTGTCCGCCTATGTCCTCAGACCAACAAGTCTACAACCAACAACATTTAATT